GATAAAAACTTTGGAGCTTAATCCAGGACCAGTTTGTGGATAAACGTCGAGTGAAGGGCCTAAAGAGCCTGACCTTTTTTTTTCCCTCATTGTACTCCCCGGGGAAGGAATCCCATGCAGTGACGTATGATGGAGCAGGAGGGCGTTCCCACCACAGTTTCAGAGCCAGCATTACCCCAGGAGGACAGCGACACAAAGCAGCACTGAACAGATACCGCTGTGTGACGCAGCTTTTCTCAGCTTGTTTAACTCCGACACTGAAGAGGACTTCGATGGTTTCAGTGCGCCGGAGGACGATGAATGAGACGTTTTGTTAGACCAGAAACTGTCAAAGAAAACTACCAAAATAAGGTCAGTTATACGAAGCGTATTCCTCCGAACTTTAAGAATTAAAGGTTTGCTTTTTATGTTTTGATGTTGAATTCACTTTTTTGACGGCAAATTTGGGTGTACTGTTTTTTTATGTTGGGGGTGCGGCTTATATGTTAATGTTCGCGGATTTTTTTTTTAAATGGTGGGTGCAGCTTATAGTCCGAAAAATACGGTACTCCTCTGCTGGTTGTGGCTTTTTTCTTTGCTTTGCTAACATCTATCATTCAGCTAATTTTAGCTTTTACTATGACAGTTTGAGCTGTCATTCAGCCCTCTGTGCTCACACTACATTTTCTGTGGAGATGCTAATTTCATTTATATTTTCTGGTATAAATGAACATGAGGTAAGAAAACGCTGCTTCAGTTTTCTTAATCTGCCTGCTCTCCCTTTAGTGAACCCACCTGAATAAACACGAGGAAGAGGAGGAGGAGGAGGAGGAGGGACTGACAGGAAAGGAGGGAGGAAGAAAACATCTTGGAAGCAGAGTAACTTTTTCAAACCTCGAGTGAAACAGAAGTTAGAACGCCATAAGAAAATGAAAAGCACGTCTTTGTTTATGTTATCGAAGGAGAAGCACGTCTTCTTAATAAGACGAGCGTACGCTCTCGATGCGTTTCAAACAAACATTCCAGGGTTCTGACCCGGCCCGATGCACAAGACAGGAGGTGGGAGTGCAGGAGCTCTGTCCGTTTGCAGAGGAGTGTGAGATATGGAGCCTGTTAGCAGCACGGGGGCCTTCATACCTCAGTTTTACGTAACCCCCACTCTCAGCTCTGAACGCTCTGCGGGAACACCACGAGGAGAGGCGAAAAGGCAGCTGATCGGTGGGCAAGCTCTGAGTGTTTGGTTACGACTTTCACCGATAATCCTCACATTTCGCAAAGAAAAACCGTACTCTTTATTTTATTATCACCTGCCTCCGAGCGTTCACCTGGTCGAATAAAAGCAGGAACCAATGGCAGCAACCAGTGCAGCTCTGTAAAGCATCTTTTATTTCACTGCTGCAGCGCTGTGAAACTGAAAGGACGTCAGTGAAATAAAAGATGCTTTACAGAGCAGAGAAAGCCATTCTTCTTCTTCTCCCTCCGTCACACAGCTCTGCAGCGAGTCGGACCTCTCCGTCAACCATTTCCATATATAGAACCCAGGAGGCGCTCCGCCGGCTGCGAGAGGTGCTGCAGCGCCGAAGCGCCGGAGCACCGGAGCCTCGCAGGACCGAGTCATTAAGCTGTCACTGGAGATTACATGCTGTCCCCCACGATTACTCACATTACTGCCTGCTTGAACAAAAACGCATCAGTCAGGAAGCGAGGCTGCGTGCATGTGTTCATCACACAGCTCCAGAGCTGTTTTAATTGCCCTGGTGGCAGGTGGAAATGAAAAAAAAAAATAAAAATAAAACGGAGGACGAAATTCTTAAAGAACTGAGGAGGAACGGCTTCAGTGGTTTAAATGGTCAGTGTGTGCAGAAAAAGAAAAAAAAAAAGGAGAAAAAAAAGGGCTGTAAAGCAGGGAGGAAAAGTATTTCATTTGGCTGTGAAGCACCCTTGAATACTAATAACGCCTGCAAAGCTCAAAGGGCTGCTGGAGGAAGGCGAGGAGCTGGTGGGACGGATGAGTGCAGCTGATATTGGGAGGGAGATGGAAGCAGAGGGGAAGATGACATTGCGGGGAAACGGGAGGGAGGAGAAAAGCGAGTTCAAACCAAATCGACTGAAAACATGTTTGTGCAGCCAAACGCATCCACACGGGCGTGTCGTGAGGTTTGGATGTTGCAACCTGCTCTGACACGAGGCGGGCTCCTCTAGATTTGAGGTGACTCTGATTAGTGGCAGCAAGTCGCCTCACCTTCAGCCGTCTTACCTTACACACGCGGGCAATCCTCGACACGATGGTGTTGTCGAAGAAGTCGATCTCTTTCCCCGCCTCGCTGAAGAAGAAGTAAATCTTGTCGTCGTCGCCCACGGGATTTCCTGCGGGCTGACTCTCCTCGATGTACGTCGTGCCAACAAAGACGGGATCTGTCCAGAACGGAAGAAGATGGAGAGAACATGAGAGAAGATGGGAAGAGGTTCACCAGTCTGCACTAAACTGTCCAACAATAGTGGAATCATTTTAGATTAATGTTCTTCCACAAAAAATTATGAGGATCTTTTACCTCTACAGGTCACAACTTTAGCAAAAAGTCTTATTAAAACCTGAATAACTCACAGGCTTCAGAGGCTGAAGTTGGCACTGGGCATAGACTTAAATATATAGATCACTAGACTGAGCCCCGCCCATACCGTCCACTGGTAGCCTGACAGCATGGAGGAGCAGAAACAGACCAAACAGGACAACAGCTCACAGCCTCCATAGAAACTAATAGATAAACAGCAGCTGAACTGGATCTGTTTCACACATTATCGGTCATGTTTTTACAATAAATTAATAATTATGTTAATTTCATTCAACAATCATGTAAAACAGTAGATTTACTGTATACCAGAAAAAATTTAATTCATAAGTAACAGTGATCTAAACCAGACCTGAAGTCAGCCTGTAAC